TGCATAAAAATAGCATGTCTTTTTTGTCTGTTCTTCAGTTGATAGGCATTTGGGTTATTTCCAAGCTTTATCTCTGACAATTTTCAGGTGCTACAAACATGGGTGTACATATATCACCGTGGTATGATAGTTTCAGTTCTTCTGGAAAAATTCCCAGGATACTTTTGTCGTTTTACTCTAGAGTGGCATATAAATGGGATCACTATACATGGAGACTCTATAACTGGGCTTCTTTTGTTTAGCAAAACACATTCAGGATTTACCCATGCTATGTAGGAATCAGTCGCTTCTCTTACTTCATTGCCTAGTAGTTCATATAACTGTACCACAATGCATCCCTCTGCCAGCTAAAGAACATCTGAACCATTTTCAGTATTTGATGACTATGAATACAGCTGCTACGAACATACAGGTAAAAATTGTGGAAACAGAAATACATTAACTTCCACAGGCTGTCAAGTAAAATACTACAGACTGGTGGTTTAAACAGTCATAGTGCTGAGGGTGGTCTGCCCAACATCACGGGACTGACGGGTTCTTTCTAGGCTTGCCTCTGATTTGCAGACAGCTGTCTACCCCAGTGGCATCACATCATCTTCCTTCAGTATGGACCTGCACAGTGATTTCCTCTTCTTGTGAAGCCACTGAGTCGTACTGGATAATGCCACCCGTATTATCTCTTTTTACCTTAATTACTAAGTTAAAGGTCCTACCTCTAAATACAATTTCATTCTGAGGTGCCAGGGAGTCAAAACTTCATTACATGCATGAGGGAAACCCAGTTCACACCTAGTACTATGTTTTCCACTTCTATAAAAATGGGATTGTTGGGACAAATGGTACAAGAGGATTTAACCTGCCAAGTAACTGCCATATTATTTTACAGAGTGCCTAGATCATTCTGCAATCCCACCAGAAGTATGCTAGTGTTCCACAAATCCTCATCAATATTTGGTAGTGCCGTTTTTCAAAACTTAGCCTAATACACAGAAAACTGATACCATATATGCTCTTGCTATGTAGTTCAGGCTGACCTGAAACTCACTATGTAGCCCAGGCTGGTCTCAAACTTGCAATGATCCTCCTGCCTCAGTTTCTTGAGTGCTGAGATTGATGTGCCATCAGGTCTGGCCTTGTCTTCTAGATATCTTTATAAATGAAGTATCTGTTTTTATTTCTATTCAATCACCTCTTCCGGTCCTCCAATTATACATGATGCTGTCCCTCAGATCCCTGAGCTTCCATTTGGCTTTTTCTCCCCTTTGCCAATCTTGTTCTCTCTGTTCTTCACATAAGCTAACTTCTCTATTCAAAACCATAGACTCTTGAATAAGAATCTTGGTTATTCCCATTCTAATTTTACCCCAATGAATGTAAATTTGTTTATTTCACAAATTATATTTCTCAAGTGTAGTTTTTCTTTCTTCTTTGGGACTTCCTGTACTTTTATTCATAATGAAGATATTTTCTTTTATGTCTATGATTTTCAAACTTTTCATCAAATCAGAATCACTTTACGAGCCTTTTAAAAAGTTGGGCCTAATTCCACGTTTCTGATTCAGTTGATTATGGGTGCAGCTAAAGAATCTGTATTTCCATCAAGTATTTAGTTAATGCAGAAGCTGCTGATATGGGGAACACTTGTTGAAAAGCAGTCTTTTACATCACTTGGCTTAGCTATAACTGTGCTGGGGATCAAGTGCACTGTGACGGCCCTTGGTTCAATCCCTAGTACATGGGGTCAGAGATTGGGATGGGAGGAGCTTGTCTGCTACCAACATCGGGATCAGGCTGATTTTGGTTCTCTTACTTGTCTTTCCTCTTGAGAAATTAATCTGACTTTCCAGTTTCTCCATGTCTTAAGCAATTCTGGATTGGAACATGTACAGTGCAAAAGTTACAATGTGGAGATGCTGGATTGTTATGTTCCTATCGATGGTATCAATTTTTCTATTTTAGCAAGCAATTAACTTGGCTGTACTCAGACTACCAAGTGTCTGCTTTCAGCTACTCAAATCTCAGCCTATTCTTTTACCTTTACGTAGGCTGCTTGGAATCTGCCTGGCACATACACGTGCAAAGATGAGCCAAAGAGAAGACAACACAGGACCTGTGGTCTTCTTTCCTGGCTCTCCCCTCCCTGAAACTGCAGAGGTCTGTGGTTGCTCACATTCCATAAGCTGGCTTAAGAAGCAGGAGAGTATGAATTTTCTACCACGTTTAGTCATCAAACCTGCTGTCTGAAAACAAAGGAGACAAACACTCTCTGTCTCTTCCCACCAACCATTTGCCCCAGCTGAACAGGCCGAGCCTACTTCAGTTCCTCCCTTTATGGAATCGCTTTTGGCTCTATGTCTAGAACTTGGATGCTATGTCTAGTTACGTCAGTTCAGAATGAGCTTACTCAGCCAATGCTGAAAGCCAAGTGCCCTAACATTATTTTAACATAAATATGAAAACTTCCAAAATTGTCAACTACTGCAAACTATAATGAGATGCTATACTCCTATATAAACATATCTGTTTTGATAACTAATCTAAACAAAGTTCCTATAAGTAATAGAGACTACATCTTTTTGTGATTCATGAAAAGAAATCAAGGTAATTCATATTTACAAGTCTTTTTATAAACCAACTTGTAAAAAAGCAACCATATCTTCATGCAATCAGAACATTATCTAATTCATGTTTGAAAAATCAATTTGCTCCTTTTCCTTTATGCTTCCTGGGAAGCAGGAATCACTGATACTCTAGACGGGCTATTTTTCTGCCAATCATATGGTCTCATCCACAGGTGTTATGTACTGAGTGTCCTTCAGATTACACAATTTGATAGGTGGCTTAAAAAAAAAACTCTAATTGAGTTAAATGCATTTTATCCTACTTAATAACAGAAAACTACAACCATGCAGCCTATTTTCATCTCAACTCATGGTTTGAAGGTAATTTATAAAAGATCAATAGCAAAAATTGTCACCTGTAAGTTTATTTTACTAAGCATTTGGCTGTGTTGATCCATTCCTAACTGCCTCTGATTGTTAAACATCCCTGGGGAAGTATCTGCCACGCAGCCAGTGCCACACTAGCTCCCTTCTCATGCACATGAGATGTGTGATTAAAAAATGAATTTTATAATAAGCATCCCATTAAACAGCACTCATACCAAGCTAACAAATCCAGCAAAAAGTACCTGTAATTCAATGCATATGCCAAATGGCAGGCAACAAGCTTGTCTATCAAAAAGAGTAGAGAGCCAGAAACAAAGGCACTCCTAATGAATACACCAGCAAATTCATTAAAACAGATTTAATCTCAGTAGCTAAGTCCTGAAAGTTCAGAAGCCAACTGGGGATACAGCTACAGCTACTGTCCACAATTAAAAGCCATTTTGAGAACTCCTGGTTAGCTGAGAGCAAAGGCAGATAAAAGGAAGCCTTAGAAGCACCAGGCAGTCATGGAAAAAAAAAAACAATCCCCAAATACAAAGTCAGGGGTGATGTGCAAATTTTCTTCTGCAGGCTAAAGAGTTGAGAGAGCAGTATTTCTCTTGTTGGGTAGAAAGCACAATCTCCCAAAAGCCTGGGCGTTTTACAGGGGCTCCCAGCACAGTGAATGAATGGTACTCAGACTAGCAGAGTCGCGCGCAGTGGCATCACTCGGGTGAAGAGTCAGGTAAGGAGTCCTTGAAGGGCACACTACCTGCCAGCCTTAGGAGGCATGGGGACACAGCCATGCCACCTAGGATACGTCCTCCATCGGTCCAACGCTACAAGAAGCCTTGAGTGCGAAGGCAGTGCCACCTAATGGCAGGGCCACTTAGCCACTGAAGGTGCTCTGATTGTCGACTCTGCCACGGACTTCCGCGTGTCTGGGAAAACGTTGACTGGTGACCAGTGTGCTGACTCCTGCAAAGTCTGAGCCTGACGCATGCTGCCTGCAGCTTCCATTGGGCCAGCACTGTCCCCTGCCACATCCTGTGTTCTGTGGTCCTTGCAGCACAGATGACTGGAGCGGGCAACAGAAGCTTGTGTTCAGAAACGCAGCCCTGACTGAGCAGTGTTTTGCCCCAATTATGAGGCCTGTACCTTTTTTCCCTTAACATAAGGGATTAACTTTCAAAACTCAGAGTATGCCAAGTACACATAGGCTATTCATTCACACTGCCTTTTAAAAACAGTGACAATGGATATTTAATATCCCTTTTCATAATTCCTAAGGGCAATGCAGAGTAAACAATTTTAAAAACTGCTTAAGAAGACCTCCCTTAGAACTATAAAATACTGTGTACACATTCATTGCTAACCAACATCACAAAAATTCTTCTGTGCTAAGAAGTTCTCTTTAAATAAAGCAGCAGCTTGCACTGAGCAAAGCATGAAACTTTTAGCAGCATCTCCCTAGTACTCAAATCATCAAAGAAAATTATTTTTGTAATAACTTGTCAATATAATACCACATAGTAAAGGTATATCTAACCGAGTTATGGATAGATAGCTGTCCACCAAAATTTGTCTTCTTTCTCCACAGGACAAAATCATGGCTGGGAAGTAGAAGCCAGGCCCCATCTTTTTAAAAATTTCTTTATTTCTGGTGCGGGGACCGAGCTCACAGCCTTCACACTACTCTGCGTCGCTAGACCAACTTTTCTTCTTTGAAATTTCAAGACAAGGTCTCATTAAGTCACCCAGCTGCCAAGGCTGGGCTCAAACTTGGTGACCTTCCTGCCCCTGCCTCTCATGGTGCATGTGAGGGTTACTGGTATGTGCCACTGGGCCTGGCAGGATTCTTTCCTTTGCCTCATTTATAGCAGCTGAGAAATTACTTCTCACCAGTAGAAAATAAGAGAAATAATGTGTGTTGCCCCAACGCTGTGCCTGTGGAACTAAAGTTATCACCTGCTTGATCTTTTGTCCTATCTGCCAACTACATTCAAATGATGAATTCAAGCCAAGGTTCATGATGCAGAGTGCTACCCACTAGTCAGGACACCATGGACTCCTCCATAAATGAGAAATAAAGTGAGCATGCTGGAGCGATTTACATGTGTGAGTCACTCTGTTACTATGGCCCAGCTTCACTCTAACAAATCCAGAACCTGAAAGCGGACTTTTCAAAACCTAAGAGTGTTTTGTAACCTACAGTGCATGGTAATGCTCCAGACTTGTTGAATAAATAGAAAACAATAAAATGTACAGTTAGCAACACCTATGATTTTAAAAAGTAGCAAGAGGAAAGTTTCTCACATTTCTGAAGCAGAAGGGAGGTGCTTCTTCCGCCCCATGCTGCTTGTAATAATCTGCCCAGTCGAAGTCCTGACCAGAGTATCCTGTGAATGACAAAACCAGATAGGATGGCATTAGAGGAGCTAAATCTCAGACAAATGGCCAATGGATTATACTGGTGATTAAAGTAGAGGTGCGAGTCCAGGCTCACGACAGACTGAGTCCTCCGAAATCACTTCTGATTTCAAGAGGGTCCAACAAAACATTACAGAAAATTAGAGCCAACTATAGGCAACACATGCTGTCAACACAATGTAAAACCTGGCATTGGGAGAGGCAGAGTACTTACCTTGCACTACAGTGGCTCCTGCCAGCAGGATTTTGTTACTGGGGACAAGACATGAGAGAAGCTACGGCACAGAATGCACTTGTAGGGTCCGTTTTGCCGAAACACACAATGACGCTTCCTTTTATATAAGTTCTGAGGCTCAAAGGTACATCATTTTTTGGTTATCTTCAAACAAATGATGATAATTTATTAGGAAAAAACTTAGGAGGGGTTGGTTTTTGATAGAGCAGAGGACACACAAAGAGCAGGGGTTGGGGGATGAAGCCACAAAAAAGGAAGGTGAGAAAGTAAAGGCTGCCACAGAACTAGACTGCTAAGGAGAAAGGAAAAGGCGCTGGGAAAGGAGGGCTTCTCTGTGGCAAAACTTTGGGGGCGAACTCAAGATTCTGGGAGAAGGGTCTGAGAAACAATTGCGCACTCACACACTGAACTAAATATAGATCTTGCCCACATGAGTGTTTTTCTTTCCTTTTAACGACAGCACTTCAATGGGCGGAAGGGAGTGCGTTAACTATATAACAAACCATAGAGAGAACCTCAGCAAGACACGAGAGGAGACACAGTAAAGACAGGTATAATCATAAATAATGAAAGTGTGAGCAAATAATGCCTCTTAACATGAGCATCAATGTACAAAATTAATCCAATGGATGGGTAGACCATGGAAAAGGGAGAGAGCTGCTTTCAAATTTTGTTAATAAAGATGGAAATGCTAAGTACAGACAAGTGAAGGTTAACTCAAGTATGCCCAATGTCACTGTTAACTTCACTTAGCGTGTTCTCTTGATTGGTCCAAGTGAATATAAGATAAATCTAACAGACTTCTGATATATATTTTGACCCAAATTCACTTAATCTGAGGATACTGAGTCACTAAATTTTACAGGTGCAAAGCAACTACGGAAATTCTTTTTAAATTTTAATTTATGCTTAGCTGCCACATAAAACATAAAAATTTAACATATTAATGGGTTAATGTGATGTTTTGACAGACATTGCATAATGGGTAAGCCCCACAGAACATCTTATCTCCTTAAACGTTTGTCATTTCTTTATGACACAACCTTTTAAAATCTTTCCTTCTAGCCTTTTAAAATGTGCAGTGCATGTGCAGTGCATTATTGTCATCTATAGTCACCCTACCCTGCACTAGCGTCGCACAACTTCTTGCTCTTGGTCAACCATTCTCCCTGCCTGCCCCCAAGGCATTCTTCATTCAAGAAACTCAAGTTAGCGTTGCGTCCTACCTCTGTGTGTACACCCCAGGACAAAGATACAGGCATAATTTTCATTAAGTCAGCTCACTTTAACCTCTATTTTTAAAATAGAATGGGTATCTTTAGCAAGCAGGTAGCTGTCTTCTTCTGGCCCCCAGAACTAAGCTATGACCCTCTCACACTTGGCTGAGCATCGGCAGCCAAGAGCCTTCTCTTTGATAAAACTTGTGCATTCTCTTAAGACCGACAGTTCATTCCTTTCCAACAAGGCAACGAGAGCTCCAAGCTGCAGATACCACACAACCTGGCGGGCTCAGGGCAAAGCAGTTCTTCAATTTCCTCCACTTGCTCATTCTAGGAGCTGTCCCTCTGCTCAATGGCTCTCCTATCAGAAACTCCAAAACTGTCTTCTGAGCCTCATAAGCATAACAAAGCATGTGTTAGTAAGGCAACACTATCACCTGCTTTCTAATTAATATAATCTTGCACTCTGCGTGGATTCTCTCTGCAACTGTGCAGGAGCAAATCCGCACGACTGAGTATGAGAAATGAAGGAAGGAGGAGCTTTGAGACACCTCTGGCCAGAAGTTTCCTAGCAGGATATACTGTACTGAGTGAGAAAAATGGAGGTCTGGGCTTTAGGTCCAGCTCCACATGTTAACTGAATGGACTGAAATAAAAACAAATAAAACTTATGCCTGACTTTGCTCTTCTACAAGCCCACAAAATAAACAGAATGGTTTTAAGGTCCCCTCTTTGGCCACACTGTGATTCAGAGCCACCATTCTAATTATTTCACCGTGGTTGCTTAGGATTTTCTTCGCACTTCTCAGATGTAAATTTTCTCCCCTTCTCTCAGCAGAAAAGTGTAAGACGGCTGTAGTGAGTGGTCATGCACCACGGCCTTCCTACAGAACCTCACAACACAAGCTGAGGAGCAAGTCCAGGTGAATCCTGACAACACCAGGATCTCATTTGCATGGGGCTTTGCCAGACTGACTTGGATGAAGTCAAGATCTCTTTCTGTTCTGGTAGCTTTTCTCTGGACCTCTGCTACTTTCTTAGCTTCTTGTGAGCTAAAGAAAAACTTTCATGAGAACACACAGAGGGTACTGTGCTAAGGAAAACCTAGACTCAATGAATAGCAAACACTTTCTGATATAAGTGGGCATTCTGTAGGGTCAAGGTCTGTGTAGGTAAAACCTGCCAGTTCCTAAATCATCTAGTCCTTTTAAATTGACACATAATTGGGTTGTCTGTAATCAGCTTCTAATGGCCTGTATCCCTATCTATGAGATGTCTTTTTTTTCTAGGATCTATATCAATTCTCTTATATATCCAGGACTCAAAAGTTTCCTTGCAAAGTCATTTTTTCATCTAATAATTTGTACACAAAATCAAGTCTTGCTGGGTACCATTTAAGCAACAATTAATTATTGTGTCCCTTAATACTCACTAATTTCTTGGAACACTGGAACTGCTTAGACTTCTCCTTCCCCTCCTTCTCCTAAAGACCTTTATTCATTTCATCACTTGAAGTCCTTTTCCACTGGGTTGATAATGAGCTTTCTTTGTAAGGCTGTTTTGTGACAGCTCAGAAAATAACTGCTACATAAAAACAAATTGCCTTGGATTGTATAATAGAGACAACAGGGGTCAATTATACTCATTAATCAACAAAGACAGAACAAAAAGTACTGAGGCTTAACTGCAGACAGGAAAACATGTTTTAACCCTGGAGGGAGGAAGAAAATAGCAGAGGGGAGAAGAAAATAAAAGGAAATAAACCCCTTTGGCCATTAAAATTTGCAACGATCTCTCACGGGAGACTGTTGAGCCACAACCATTAGAGTTATTTAAGCCTTTATTAGTGTTTATTCTACACAAAATTCCAACTGTCACACATCCAAAAGGGAAGAGGGCAATGACCAGTTTTCTTACAATGCAAACTAATTGACATAAACCAGCTCCACTTGTAAGCATTACAGTGCAAATGGGCAAATTCTTTTGAAAAACTATTTGGCAGTAAAACAGTCATGCCCTTTGCCGGGACAGTTTCACTTCTCAGCATTTTTCTCATGGAAATGACCCGAAAGTCTCAGTGTTATATATTACAATACTTATGGCATTTGGGTTGATAACAATGAGGTGGGCGGAGAGCTGAAACAACTTCCATCCAGCAGTCAGACATGATATGAGCCTTGTTCAAATGCACGGAAAACCCTGCAGACACGAAATCACAGTTTGTTGAAGGGGAAAGTGTGAGAAAAAGGTTGTTATGGTTTTAGAAGGAGATTTAGGCAAAAGTGTTCTGAATCATTCACTTTGCACAAAAATATGCCAAGAAACAAAGACCAGAAAATAATAATACTGTATTCAAATAAACATTTGGGACTCATGATTACTTTTTTATTCTTCCTCTGCAGTTTTTCCAAGTTTTCAATAAGGATTCTGAATTTGTCCCAATAAGAAGTATCTGCTAACGCAGCTGTGCTCTGTTCACATGTCCGCAGCCCTGGCTCTGTTGGCATGCAGAGCCCACCATGGCGCCGCCATGCCACCCTCCTTCAGGTGCAGGAACAGAAAGCCAACTTTACTCAGTGGGGAGAGAAAGTGAGGCGTCACCTCAGCGCCAAGAAGTAAACTGCGACCACCCTGAGACACTGAGACACTGTGGCCCCTACGTGGGACTTGGGATGGGGCGCAGGAAAGGCTTGAGAAAAGTGCTCTCTCTCTCTCTCTCTCTCTCTCTCTCTCTCTCTCTCTCTCTCTCTGATAAAATATACAGGAGTAAAACTCCTACACTGGATGACTAAGAGGCAAGATGTGCACCCATAAAGGCTAAGAAGAACAAAAGAGTGTAATGTTTGCCATCCACAGGACGGGAAGAATGAGAAACACCAGGAAGAAGTCAGCTTTTACAAGTCATTGAGGAATAAAAGCATAGTTTTAGGCATTTTTGATTGGAAGGACAATAACTCACAAAACCACAGTAAATGTCAAGTTCAGAATCTAGATAATGTGTCAAAATTTTCAAGAAGGTGCCCAACCTCCACCCTACACATTGTTTCCTCCATTCAAGAATACTGATCATATGGATGCTGAGGGCCAGGGCAGTCACAAGGGACCAAAGCCAGCAAAACTCTCAGTGAGAGGAGACAGAAAGTGCACCAAGAAGATCACAGGTGCTGCAGAGGGGAATAGCTCCCGGGGACAGCTGCCTCTGTGAACAGAGAGCTCAGGGAGACTCCACAGAAAGGTGAACAGGCGCAACAGTCACAGAGTGGAGAACAGAGGAGGAAGGAGGCGTCCAACTCTCAGGGACAAGAGGGTACCAGGGATGGATCAGAGCACTTGAGAGCCCAGGAGTGGGCTCCAGGATCAGCAGAGGACAACCTGGCTGGAGCAGACTGACCAAGAGCCAGCAGACAGCAACTGCGGCAAGCACGTTATGTATACATACATAAAGCAACGGCAGCCCCAGACAATGTCTAAGGTATTTGCCTACAAATCCTGGAGTCTCTACAGTCACTTATAG